TCGCGCATGCATGCACGGTTGTGGCATGACCACCAAAACAGAAAGATATGGACACAAGATGTGTGCAAATGTATTTAGTATCCTATCCATTTGAACATGATTTAAGTGGGGGGTGGACCTAACCTCCGCTCGGGGGGTCCGGGGGCATGTTCCCCCGGTAGGATTTTTTTTTTTTCAATATTGAAGTTAAAAGCATCAATCTGGTGCACTTTTAGAGCAACACTAAGAGATCTATGGATACATCTCTCAACACCCATATGAAACAGAACTGTAAGCAGATTTTCTTTTTATTTATGGATATTTTACAAATCACTCCCCTTTTAAACTGTATTCTTGTTTATTAATAACAACTTTTTTTTACTGTCATATAGTATTTTATACTATAAGAGAATAGATGAAAATCTATTCTCTTATTTTTTTATAATTATAATGATCATATAAAGGTGTGCCTTTACCTCACTAAGCTGAGGTTATCAGAGCCTCTCAGTCTTTCAGGAGAGAGGTGTAGTTTGGTCTGCTTGTTTCAGTTTGGTAAGTTTATTTTGAAAGTATTCAACGGAAGTCTTGGTTACAGGTCTGCATCATAGACTGTATATATAAAGGTCTGCATTGACGCTGGCTTGACCATACTAAAGTTACAATTCCTCTCTGTGACCACCAGAGGGCAGTAAACAAGCATGATTTACATTTTGGTCAGCTGTCATTGACTTTTATTTCCACCTTTACGGAAAATAATCACTTTAGATCAAAGTAAGATATAAAAGGACAAATAAATGCAGCAGCAGTAACCGTTACGCTTAAATAGCATTAGATAAATTCAAGTAGGATAACATATAAGTAGATCAAATAACCCTTTATGATCAAAACTTTTTTCAATTGGACACTTGCTGTTTCTATTTTTCTGATTGGCTTAACTGCAAGTGATCACTAGCTTTTAACCATGATTTTAAAAACGTTGGCAGTACCATCCCTAATTGCTTCAAATATAATCTTTAAATGTCCACAAATATATAGGCTGTATCGTGAGGATAATGGTTTAAAAATATAATACATTTCTTTCAATGCCGAGTACACAACCACCAATCAGAATCCACGCTCCAGAGTGTTGCTAGGCAGATTATGTTAATATATGCAATGCAGCCATCTCTGCAGCTACCATTCTGAGGTAAGAACAACTTGTACGCTTTACACTAAATGTAAGAAACTAGAGTTTGCTTCACGACTACTTCTTTAGCTCGATTGCTTGGTAGTCTTTCAGTTTATAAACATTAAATGTGCGGGCTGTTTTAGCGCATTTGAACCGGTAGAAGATACACGATTTTTCTGTCGGTCTCTTCGGATGTGGTTGTTGTCGTTAGTCCCACCCAAAATGGAGCCCGTTCTTCCTTGTTCACAGCAGACTTGAAGGGCTGGGCTCAACTAGAACGGGGGGACGGGTGGTTCTAGTCAAATAATGCCGGCTTTTAAACGCTTCAAAAACACTAGTGTTATGAATCGCATAATGCGATCTGTGTCCTGGGGCCTAACAAGTTATGTTTAGCTCCAAGGTCGGCCTTACATTGCGACTATATGACCGTAATGCTAATGTTGCGGTGCAGCATTGCCCGGGTTTCTATGGCGCTGGTTTGTGTGGTATAGTCCAGTTGGGACTGAGAACCTGCGGGGTTAAAATAGGGGGGAATGTAACTTATTATTGATTATACCAAGTAGATTTCTGAGTGACTTTACACAGTTGTGATTTTTCACCGGGGCATTTGTGCAGACATACGGTTGTATTTAGACACCGTTTCACCGGCGGCCTCGTGAGCAAACGTTAACCGCGTTTTCCCTGGTCCCCCCGCTGAGAGCTCCCGTGTGAGCGCTCTGGACACGGAGCGACATGCTGCTTTATTTTGGCTTGCATGTCCTGTCAGACGAGCATGACTTGTGTCTGGAAACCCGAAGATCTGGGTTGCAGATTGAGAATGGGGTCGCATTCACAGCCACTTTGCCCAGATATCGCTGCTGCAGTGCCTCACTGTTACAAACCGCTTCAATGTGTCTAGTGCACTTATATGACTGATAAAGCTGCTATAATAAATGCTCCATCATCAATTCATAAAATGACACCTGACCATATGCACATTTCTACAGAAAACCCACCTTTGTTTGAAATATCCTAATGTGCCATGATTATTTTAGATAATGCTTCACCTGAACGTCTGTAATACACGATGAAATCCATCCATTCACTTTGGTTGTCATCACCATGTTGCATTTTTTATTATTACATTAACAATCATCCCCAATCCTTTTGCCTTTGTTCATTACAGGCGTCTTAAGAGCGAAGTGTTAGGTGACGTGATTGGTGACAGGCCTGGCACCGTGCTGCCATGGAGACCAAACAGGAGGAATCCTCTGCTGTGTGGAGTCAGACATCGAACAGTGATTCAGAAAATGGCACACAGGTCTGAACTGTCTCGAAAGTGCTCTATTCAGTCAGTCATAAGCAAAGATAAGGATGCAGAACACTTGATACATCAGAGAACCAAAAGGGAGAGTTTGAATTGTTCAAAGTGAGGCGGTATGAGGGAGTTATTGTCATATTCAGCTTTACTCTCGCCAAATCTACCAGACTTCATTGACAGAGGCAGTCATTTTACCTCGCATAATGGTCTGTTTGTGTTATTGAGTGACTTTGGTGAACCCAAACTACCAACTTCATACAATAACACACACTAACCAATCAAGGCAGCAAGGAAATTCTAATTTTAGTCTGTTTTAAACAGAGTCAGTTCCCTGTTAGAAAAGGGGTTGTCTTATCCCAACTTTATTTTAATTACGTACACTTGATTTTCGTAGTTAGGGCTTTTTTTAGGGCCATTTTGCAACTGCCCCTGTGAGAAGCAGTACATTGCTTAGCTTCAGTGAAGTAGCTCCTGTCTTCTTATCCAAGCTCCTGGAGTGCTGCCATCTATTGTAAGTAATATGCTGACTATGGATAAGTACCTCATTCAACCCTACTTCAAACTATCTGATGGGCACATTACAACCATGTCTTTTAAGTAGTTTATGCCAAATCCTAGCAGGTGATTTTTCAAGCAGTGGTTTATTACCCTCCAAAATGACTTTAGGACAAACATAAACAATTATAAAGGAGGGTAGAGAGAATGTAATGATGTTGCAATTGGTGTAAAACATTTTGTCTGGTGCATGTGTGTGACAGGTGCATTTTGAAGGTGGCACGGTGGCCCAGATAGTGTACAGTGGCGATCAGGGGGACAGCGGACAGCAGCAGGTGGTCTATACAGCGGACGGGAACTCCTATACCTCTGTAGAGTCTGCAGAGCACACACTTGTTTACATACACCCTGCAGATGGCACTCAGGTAGGAATGATACTCACAATAGCTACATGCATTCATGGGCAGGTCGAGGCCCTGTAAGATTAACTCACACTTCTGTATTAAACTTTTCTTTCAGAATGTATTCGCTGATCAGCCACAGGTGGCTTACATTCAGCAGGATGGCACCACACAACAGGTACGTTTACCAGGAACTGTGATGTCATTGCTCAGATGTTTACTGTCTGGTTTATATTGACTTTAAAGCGATTTCATCTCATTCATAGGTCACAGTTTTGCTGCCGAGTGGACAGAACATGAATGCTGCCAACCTGCATGTTCTCAGTAATGTAGCAGAGGCTCCACAAGCAATGCTGGAGCAGGTTTCCCAGGTGAGGAGACTTTGTCACAAGTGCAAATACTTTATCTATATTAATTTGAACACACATTATGGCATATAGAAAGGGAGACATTATTTGTTTGTATTCTAAGTATGCGGTTCTACTCTGAAGTAGGGCTGCACGATATTGGAAAAACCTGACATTGCGATATATATTTTTTTCCCCTGCGATATGAAAAAATACAGGAATTGAAGAAAAGACCGTTTTCTTTGTCCGCAAACCATCCTTTCTTGAACTTTAATGCTATACAATTGGTATTTTTTTTAACAATATTTAACCGGATGGAGGATTTTAGTCACGGACTTCTGGATCTTAAGTTATCAGAGCAACAAGCTGAGCTAGCTCGGTTATCCTGCTGTGATCTGATCAAGAATGATTGTGATTGGTGGTTTGCTGTGCATGCAGAGCCTGCATGTCACTGACTCAAGTACCCCTGACATGAGAGCCGCGCAAGTTTTCCTTTGTAGCAAGCAGCAAAATAATTGTACCATGACGCTTTTGGGTTAATTTGCCTACTCAATATCACATGTCCTAAAAAAATTAATGAAATAAATAAAATAATCGCACGTCCTGCGATGTGAATATCGCGCATGCGCATAACGCGATTATCGTCACGACATGATATATCGTTTAGCCCTACTCTGAAGTTCATATGTAATTTTTAGATATTTGCAGTGCAGATGTATACAGTTTAATAGCATCAGATATATGATACACACAAATAATCTATCCTAAATATCACAGGTTATTATTTTGAAATGTTGATTAGTCCCTCAGAAGTTTCTTTTTTTTAATTGCTTCTCAACTTAACAACCACAAATTATTTTCTACTGTACATGCACGGAATATCACAAGTAAATAATTGTCCTTTTATATACATTGCTATCACATTGTTACATGGACTTGCCAGTGTTTCTCACATAACAATAAACAGAGCAATCTTACACTTCTCAATTCTCCAACCCAAACAGGAGCAGCTGTCTGTGGCCAATTCGCTGCCCTCCATGACCGACATGGCGGACCCCCCCTCCAGCCCTCTCGGGGCCGAAGACTCCACAGAGGACTCAGATGAAGAGGAGGATGACGAGTCTGACATGGATGACTGGGAACCTCGTCAGCCTCAGTCCTTCAACCCTCACAGCCTCTGTGAGTGACCTCCACTCTCACACCGTCTGTCAGCAGTCACCATGTAGAGCCCACAGCAGAGGGTCTTTTTCTGCGTATTGACAGCATGAAATAATGATCAACAAATACATTCAGATCGCTGACTTGGCCATGACCTACTACTAGTAGTTTTTTGGTGGCATTTTAAAAAAACACAAACCAAAAAACAACTCGATGAGATGTAATTTAGAAAATACAAGAAAACAAAAATGCTCCACAAAATTGTATTTCTTGATATGCAATTTAATCTGATGTGTTATAATCTTCCCTGAAGTCACTTCCTGTGGCAGTGGACACTTTTTTACTAGAGCAACACAAAGCAGGGCAAACAAATGAACAATTATATCCCTTTTTTAAATACGTATTCATCTGTTGCTGTGCTGATTTGTGTCTTATTGTTCCCTTTTTTTCTCTCAGGGTGTGACGAGTGTAATAACGCCAACCCCTCTGTGTGTGGGAAGCACGGGCCCCTGCACCCCATCCCTAACCGGCCCGTGATGTCCAAGGCCCGGGCCAGCCTGCCTCTGGTCCTCTACATCGACCGCTTCCTGGGTGGCGTGTTCTCCAAGAGACGCATCCCAAAGCGCACCCAGTTTGGCCCTGTGGAGGCGCCCCTGCTTCCTCAGAGCGAGCTGCAGGAACACTACCTTCATCTGAAAGTATGTCAGCACCCTTTCTGTTTGATGGTTATTGAGCTCCCTTTACTTGTGGAGGTTTTATTTGAGCATTTAGCTCTATGAGTTCTTGTCTCACTTCTAATTTTTGTGTTGTTTGTAGGGATGTTTCAGTCAACTAAAAAGTAATGATATGATGTGATCGTTAGGTATTTGGAAATAAGTCATTTAGCATTAAACGTACTTATCAACTCAATAAATCTCAGTCTTCTATCACCAAAACTTCAATAAGTCGACTAATCAATTAACAGTTGGCAACCTTAGTTGTTTGAATAAAGTCTTCACAAAGAGCTATAACCAAAGAGGGCAATACTTATAATTATACTATCCTTACAATAAAACAAAAAAGGAAATATATTTTTGCAATAAGAAGGTTTTATAGGAAAGTGTTGGGTAGGTAAGAAATGTGGCGAAAACAAATTCCGCTCACATTTAATCATGTATAAGCATGTTCAGAATCTGATCTCTGATATTCTTTCTGTTTTGCTTAGCTGTGCTCGCTGGACGCAGAGAAGGATGGAGAGAAGTCAGATGACCTGTGGTTGGACCTGTCTGATGAGGACAGCTGTAACTGGATGATGTTTGTGAGACCGGCTCAGAACCACCTGGAGCAGAACCTGGTGGCCTACCAGTACGGCTCGGAGATATTCTACACGTCCATCAAGAACATCCAACCCAAGCAAGAGCTCAAGGTCAGCCCGTGGTTTGTGTGTTGTGTCGCATGTGTAGTGCACTCATTTTCCTCCTTACTTTGACACTGTGTGCACAAAGTAATACAACTATGGTTCAACACTTTTATGCTATCTGTCCAGAACCAAATATCAGACAGGCTAAGTTAGTGACTAGCTGGAGAGGAAATCCAGAGTAACAAGAGTAATTCAGTCAGAGTAAATAAACAATACAAAAAACAAGAACTTTATTTATCAGTCTTTCATAACAGCACACATGTAAACACCCAAACTCAACCCACAAATATTCATATTAAATAAAAACAATTAAAACTGCGGTCGCACTTGTGCGCGCAGTGTTGAGCGGGCCCTCGCGTCCGTGCGCCTGTCGGGGAGGGCGGCC